ATGGCTGCTCAGTTTGACATTATTTTCTTAATGTCATTTTGTACAAAGCAGACAGAATAACAGTTGCACTTTGCACATATTGAGATCAAATATTCTTAGTGACGTTTAATATTTAACATTTTGGCTTGCTCCTTTTAGAAGAATACCTTATCAGGAGGATGGGCATGCAGAAGTTAAATTGATGTGCAGAGTTCAAATTCTGATCAAATTCATTGCATTAACTTTCACACAAATACCCTTGGGAAAAGTATGAATCCATCTCATCTCTTCTCTCCACACCAACTATGGGTTAAATAGCAAGGCAGACTCAACCCTCTAGACTTGCAAGGTGACTATCAGCTAATCTGAATCAATGAGAATATTTCAGCACTCCTTCTCTCCACTAACCCATAGGTTTTTTTTGTTTTTGTTTTGTTTTTTTTTACTATTGTTCACCTAATACAGAGAGAGGGAGCAAGGATTGAGGATATTGTAGGACAGATAACAGTTGATCCCTGTAACAAAATAAAAACAGTTAATACTATTATTGGTTTTTATCAAATTGAGCTATCATCCTATATAAAATAAGCTAGTTTGATTTTATTACTATGTACACTGTGTGTGTGTGTATATATATATATATATATATATATATAAAAACACCATAATTTATTTTTTCCTTGACTCTGATGCTACATTCAAAGTCTTATCAGGTCCAACTGGTCTGCTATACATGTAAGTAACCAAATCTAAACCTAGAGAGAATTGAATAAACAGATTTCCACCTGGGATCCTCTATATATACAAAGGAAAAAAATCTCAATTCAGAAATCTCCCAGAAAATTTCCTTTTAATATCAAACCAAAATGGCTTAAATGCTTTCTACCCAGAACCAATGTGCATTAGATAATTCTAAGCTTTCAGAAATGTTATGAAAAATATCATTTTTATGTCACATCTACAAAATACAAATTAAAATTAAAAAAAAGAAAAGAAAAATGATTTTTAAAACCTATGAAGAGTAAACCAAACAAAAAAATTCCTAAAAGCAAGTACTTTTTTCTATAATGAATTAAGAAATATCCTGTATAGTTTAATATATGCTTTAGAATATAGTCTTATAAAATCATTGGCTTTATTTTATTAAGATATTTCAGTTATTAAATTTCTGGTCTGCTGGCTGAATTGTTGAAAAATATGAATAGGTGATGTTAGTGCAATTAAATTGATCTATCTGAAAAACCCATTAAAAATCAAGTATTAAAAGTCAATTTTATATAAAAGTAAATTGATCTCTCTTTTAAATGATACCAAATTTAGACTCCTTGGAATTAGTGGTTATAAAATATGATTTGGAAATCCACAAAGTTTACTAAATGACAAATTTCAGGCACCTCTAGTTGCTGATGAGTGTTAAGTGTAAAATAATATGTTAAATATTTTTTAATCTCTCAAGTATTAGGAAATTAAATCTAAATTATAAGTCCTGATTTTCTTTACACTTTTTAACTAGAATAATATATTAGTTTTAAGTTTAATCTAATAATTTGTCTTGAGTGTCTGCTAAAATTTTCCCAATGCTCAATGGAACCATGTGTAATTACTGTGTGCAGTTAGGAAATAAAGTAGTATTTACTATTATTATTACATTTTTGTGGAAAATTAAGGTTAAAGATGAGGAATTAATCACATCTACATAAAGAAAATAGAAAAAGAGATAATGTCTGTTTTAGAGATTTAATATCCAATTCAACTTTGTTTTGAATCTTTTGTTAATTAGAAATTAAATTCTGTTGAATTGTTTCTTCTTTTGTGGAGGTAAAAGCAAAAGACATTAGATTTATTCCTTTAAATAACATTCCTCCTCTTTTCTTGATCAAATAAACCCCTTTTGTCTGGTTCTTTCCCTGACTTGATGACAAGTACTTCCTGATGCTGATTAAAACTTAAATTCATTGACTCTTAGAACTGCACACAATTATCAGAGAAAATCCAAGTACATTTGCCTAATAAATCAATACATCCTTAGCTGTAACTGGAAATAACAAATCTCAATTGGTGTTGAATCATTGTGAAAATATCAGAAAGTGATCAATGGGATTATTGTATTTGCAAGCCTTTTGCTTGTCTACCAGAGAAAATAATGTAAAGTTGAAAATAGAGAAATTAATACTTCAACTATGTAGATTACATTATGATATCAGATGAGTAGTTTCATATTGAACAATGAAATTAAAGAAAATTGCTCAGTCAAATTAAAAATATTCTTCAGTCTTTAGACATTTATTCCACCTTTGTCAGTTCCTTTTATTCAAATAATTGTGATAAATTCATTGAATGCATATTCAATTTTCATTTTGTATGAAATGAAATGGTTTAGATACTTGGAAAGAAAAAATTTAAAGATAGAGAAAAGTTGCTATTTGAGTTTTGAATTCACTATTTCAGATTGATGTATGTAATGTTTGGCTACATTGAATGAAGCTCTGATATATTCAATTTTTTTTTCTCCAAACACAAATCATAGCCTTTGAATGGATGATGACTTGAGAGGGAGACTTTTTCTTTCTTTTTTTTTTTAAATTGATTTGTTATCTTTTCAGTGATAAATTTTATTGGTAATTTTGAACTAGGTTTTATTTACCTACTAAAATACAATTAATGTTGTGAAAGTGTAAAGAATTAAAACATATTAGAATGTCCAATCACATGCATCTGTTGTTTTGTTTTATTTATTTATTTTTTTTTTATAATAAAGAAATAATTGGTTGTACAATATTGAGAGAAATTGTATTCATATGGTTAATAGCAACATGAATTTCTTTATAAAAATTCCTTCATTTACATGTTTGGAGTTCAACTTTAAAGATGAACCTGTACAGACTGATTTTTATAAACATGGCCTCATTTATACACAAATACAATCCTCTCTCAGTTCTATTTGCTAGTATAGTGAGTTTGATTGTCACCGAGTTCCCTAATCTAAGCTAAATTTAGTAAATAACTATATATTTTGTATCTTTATGCATACACACACAAGTATGTATATGCACACACAAATTATATAAAAACAGTTGACATAGAAATCAACATTGTATAGTGATTGACAGTTTTCATATTTTAAGACATGAAACTGCCAGTTATCATACAGTGTTGATTTTTTATGTCCACACATGCTCTATTCCCAATATTGATCACTCTTCCTTCATGAATATATCAAATCTTATATATATATATATATATATATATATATATGAGGTATAGGTAAAAATCTGTGGTTAAGTAATCCAAGTGAATTCTAATAATATAAAGTATTAAAACTGATTCACAAAAGAGCTTAATATTATAGAGCATAGAAATGAATTACATAAAAATGAAACTCAATTTTACCCCATTTATATGGCCATTTCGCTCCTAGAGAAAGAAATTCTCTGGAGCTTGTCAATACTAAAAAGTTTCATAAAAAAAAAGAAAATGATCATAACGTTTTTTAAAAAAACTGATAATTAAAAAGGATAGGAAGAAAGAGGAAAGAAAAGAGAGGAAAAAAGAGGAAAACATTACAAGTAAGGGAAAAGGCATTTAAGAGGGAGATAGAGAGCAAAGAAAGGAAAGAAACACCAAAGTAGTAGGGGGGGGAGGAAAGAGGAAGACAGAAACATACCTCTAGACTGAAGTTAAAAAAGGTTGAAGATTAAAAATGACTTATATTTAAAATGTTAACTCTTGTTCAAATAGGAAAAAATTTTAGAGAAATACAATAAAGTTAGGAAAGAGTTTTTAAGATAGTAGATCAAAGAAATTTTAGAATTTAATATTAATACTATTATTTAATTTTAATATTATACAAAGGAATTTAATATTATAATAAAAATTTAGACATTATTAGTATATAAACAAGAAAAGCCTAATATTAAAGTTGACAATTAAATAAAGGAAGAATTAAAATAAATATATCAGTAATAACCCAAAGGAAATTTTTTTATACAAATATATATATATATATATATATATATATATATATATATATATACAAAATATATATAAAAGTTTTGGGAGTTTTAGGCTTTATCTTTTAGGACTTCATCAAATGAGAAACACCTCACAAGAAAACATTTTCCACAATATTGTCTTGATATATAAAAATATGTATCATCATCTCATATGTGTGTGAAATGTGCATTTATAATATAGTCCTTTATTAATATAACATTTATTAAACATGATGGACAAGAAATCTAAAGATAAATAAAATTAGCTAATATTTATCATTTACATACAATAAATACATATCTGGATTCAATGAATATAAGTATTGTCTAAATATTTGGTTTTAGCAATTTCAGCCATACTTGTAACCATTTTCAGGAACAGGGAAAACAGTAAAAAAAAGTTAAATAAAAGGGAAAAAACATTTTTTTAGCTATGATCTTTAAAAAGTTTCTTTGTAGATGCAGACACACGCATTAGACACATAAATAAATGTAAATATAATCCTTCACAAATCAACATGAATTGATCCTCTAATAGCAAACAACAGTTTACATAACTTTTATCTCCATCCTGAGAGACACAGTTTAGTATTTTAGCTCAGATAGTGGGTAAAAAACATGATACATCTCATTTGTCACTGTTTGATAATATAGTCTCTATTGTAGGCAGTTGAAAGTGAATTGCCAGCAAGAATAATAAAATACTTACAATTTCCACAAGTGAAGTTTTCTTTCTTACACACTGGAATATCTTTTAATGACCTGCCAATAATATCCTCATGTCAAATCAGATTTAAAAAGAAATTTCTACCATATTAAAAATTCTATACACTTGAAACTTTTTCCTAATTTAGCAAAATAATTTCTCAGTTCATTCTTAGATTAGTATTTGACATATTAGTCAGTATTTCTTTCCTTAACTTTGAAGATAGCTTTTTTATTATCATCCTTCTTCTGAACTTTGCCCTAACTTTCACATCATGAATACCTCAAATCCTTGAATAAGCAAATTTCTCTTAATCTTTTCAGATGGACCCTATACCAATGGTTTTGTTGAAAATACGCACAATACTTCCAGTGAGCACACTGATGAACTGCCACCTTATACTGACCAAGACATTGGCCAAGAGTTATCAGATGAATCTGACTTGGACAAGCCATATGATTGTAGACCTATGAATGACAGTAAGTAGACAGTGAAATTACTAATTTTTACCCCCCCCCTTTTTTTTTATTTCTTTATTTGTTATAAGGTTGAGATGCATGTCTTTTGTGTACTTTACCTGAATGGACTTATTTTATTATGTAATAATATTTCTTTTCATTTTTTTTGTGTACCCTCTGAAAATTTTGCCAACTTTGTGTGAAGAAACCTATATATTAGTGTGGACAGAGAAATCAATACTGGCAGTTTCACACCTTAAAATATGGTCTGATAATTACTTAAGGCATGAAATTGCCAGTTACCATAAAATTGCTGTAAGCAATGGTCTAAAGATTGCTTGAGGTATGAAAATATCTACACATGCCCTATACCCAATATTGAGCATTCTTCCTCTATAAATATAGTTTATTTTAAACATATCATATACTTAATTAGTTAGTTGCAATTTTGTGTTTAACTTCATTTTGGGATTTGGTGTCATCATAATTTTGCCACTCTTTAGAATGTCTAATTCTTTATCAATAATTCCAGAAAATGTTCCCCTTAATATCATTAAGTAATATTTAGATTTTACAGTAACCTTTTATTTGGTAATTAAAAGAATCAAAATAAATGTTATGATTAAGATTTCTTTTCATTGCCCACCTACCTCAAGACCAATCTTCAAAACGAATTAACATGATTTTAATGCATTTATGCATGTTTTTATTCTGGTTCAAGACACTGAGCATGCACAACCCAAACTTTTAAGGAGAAACTTATCTGATAATATTGCATGACTGCAACAAGTATTGTTCTTAATGTATTTGTCTTGTTTTTTGCATGTTTATCTTTGAAAATCTTGTGTCAAAAAATCAAGGTTGGTGGTAGTTTAATTAGGCTAATATTGGGAGACTATCAGTATACTCATTTATTTACTTGTTTTTTTTGTTCTTTTAACTTGAAATTGGTACAGTAGCAAATCAGTAATGAATTGACACATAGTGCATTGTTGCATAGTTTCAGTGTATATGAAACATTTCGAAAATGTAATAGGCTATTTTATTAATTCTAAATATACTATTCATTTCATTTTAAGAAAATCCACTTTCCATTTAAAAATAATCAATATAAAAGCATTCTAAAAAAGAAAAATGAATATCGGATACTCAAATGAAAATATTTCTCAGCAGTAGCCTCAGAAGTTTGTAATATCAACCATAAATATATCTTAAAACTATTGGGAGAAAATGTAATTTACATAACTAAATGATAAAGGATTCTACTGAAAATACCCGAAAGATAAGATTAATATTGTTCAGAGTGGTAATCAAACAATCACATATTGGTTTTGTTTGACAATAACTGTTTATATATATATATAAAATCCTATGTAACTGGTTTTCTTCTTTAGAAGGAACTTGTGTTACCACTAGAGTCAGTTATATATATATATATATATATTTTTATATATGACATAGAAAGAATTTTTATTTTATTTTTTATTTTAATCATTTCATCCCAAGCAAAGCAATAAAGCCACTAAGATGCAAATGATTACTGTGTGTGAGAGAATGAGGAGAAAAAAACAATAAAAGAACAAGAATTAAAACAAAAGTTAATGATTGACATTGATTTTCAAAAATTTGAATACAAAGTTGACTAGAAAGCAAGAAGCTGAAAAATGTTTTACAAACAAGAAATGCAAAAGAAAAAAACGGCCTAGAACTTATGGTTACATTTAGCCATTTCAACTGTAAAATGATGAAACCTTGCCACCAATCTAGTACTGCCTTAAAATTCATAAAGTCTAATAGCACAGAGAAGCTACTCTATGGTGGTGGGAAAGTGACTGGAGCTAAGATACCAGATCAGGATCAGTAATATTGCAGATTCTTTGTATTTTATCAAGATTCTCTAGATACATAGCAGAAGCACTGGACAATATTTGGCAGCAGTATTCTATACATGGATGAATAGTAGACATATAAATCTGCTAAGAAAAATTGTGTAGTACGACATAGTGAACCAACTTTTCTAGCAGCAGACCTAGCAATTGATTCAATATGATCTTTCCACTTCATGTCAGTGAAAAATGTGAGCCTGAGAAAATGCAATGAGTCACCCTGCTGGAGGTTGGCATCAGCCATACTGACAGAAGACAAAAAGAGGTTCTCTCAGACAATTAAAAGAGAACAGTTTCATTTTGGAAGTGTTAAAATTAAGTAGACATTCATTGCCCCAGTTAACAGAAGATTGTACGAAATATATCATTGGTTAAAATTTTACATAAAAAAAAACTGCTAAAGATACAGTGACACTTAGCTTTAGAACCATTATTAGTCTGAAAAAGTCCTTTTTAGGTACAAAACAGTTTACACAAGTTTCTTTTTCCATTTTGTCATTCAGTTATACATTTAGATGTCTTGATACTAGGAGATATAATTTCCTAATAAGGATGCAAAATATTCAGCAAAATTTCTTATAAACTTCATTTTAACAGCACTGCAGCTCATTGAAAAAGCCTCATTAAATTTGGTGTGGGAAGCAATTTTAAAGCCTGTATCCCAGCAATTGTTCAAAATGTATCTGTTATTTCTGATAGTTTAAAGATCTTTGTTTATTTCTTAGACTGTGTACACCTTGTTAAATCCTGGTTATTTTTCATGTTAACCCTTTGAATACTAATGGCTGTCTGCTGTCCATGACTCTGGATGTTATACTGGCTGCCCAAGTATATGCACATTCATACAGCAGCCCAGTATATCAGTCGTTTATGTTCAAAGGGTTAAAATTTATGGCCATGATTATATTTTCATTTTATCACTGAAGTTGAGCAACCTTGCTTTGTCCATACAAATGGGCAATCATTCAAGAGTACCAAGAACTGTAAACAGAATATTGTTTATTTCTAAACAACTGTCAGTGCTATTCTCAAATATATATATATATATATATATATATGCCTTACATTTTAGCTAAGCTGATGAATATTTATGAGTGCTTCCTAAACTGAAACATTTTGAAAAAGCAATAACATTTTTGCTCTTGTATATAAATACTTGCTGCAAAATAAAACCCTTACATTTGTTTTCCTTTTATTTATATATATATATATATATATATATATATATAACCATATTTTTTTAATATCAAACTATTCAATTTATGTACTTTAAAAACATTGCTAGGCTGGAGTGGTTTGCTTCTTTTTTTTAAGTAGATGACTTGTTAATCAAGAATTTATTTCAAGATAAGACTGCTACTATTTATTGGCATGGTACCAGACTAATTTTCAGACTTTGTATCTACTTAATTTTCTTATCACTTCTTGGCAATATGTGATCATCATCAGTAGGTCTTTAAATAAGCTCAGATGATAGGTTAAAAAAAACTTTGGGCTGTGGTTAGACCAACATAATGATGCTAAAATATAATACAAGTCCAATTTTAAAAAGGTTTAATTATTATGACAGATTTTAAATATCAGAGGGGTTTTCAAACAATCGCATTTGTTTTGGTCAATTTCTTGAATATAATGTAATGTTAATCATCAATCTAACCAGGAAAGGTCTCCCCTTCCACACCAAATTCTGTTATTTGGTCAGATTTTGGAAAGTGAGATGGGCTGAGAACTTTTCATCAGTTTCATATAAATCTGCTGCCTCTCTACACCTCTAAGATTGCTGCTTATAATAAACCATTAAGAAATTTAATCTTTTGATATTGGGGTAGGTTTTTTAAGATTTGATTTTAAATTTATTTTTATTAAAAAATTTTCACAAAAAACTTTCATTATCTACCAACCTGGTTTCTGTGTACTTAACAATAATTTCAAAGCTTCAAATGACAATTTAATTTTTTTTAGTTGAGGTTCTAATATAAGAAAGTGTTTTCATAACCCAACACTCCTTAAGTTTCAGGACTGACACAAAAAATGAATACTGATAGTTTATATCTGTAGTGGGTCATGGGACAGACTCCCACAAACCAGGAGGTCTGGTAAGCCTATATGATGGCTTTCAGCTCGTTAAACACATACCCATTGCCGAGAAGTTTGACTAATGTTTTTGGTTCTTGTGAGAGATATACACACACAAACACTATTATTTTCAATGTGTACTGTCATATTGGTAAAAGCTTTAAAACAAATTTCTTGTTTTAATTAAAAAAAAAAAATAGTTAATAAAATTTAAGTTGAATTTTGCAAAATATAAGATCAATTTGATTGTGATATTAAGTAGGCCATCTTTGTTAATTATATAGTTGAATACCTTGCAGTGGGCTAAAGCCTTAGTATTTACTAATTGCCAGTCAACATCATGACTTCAATTATGCTAAATTGAAAAGATAAAGTTTAAATTTTTGGTTCCTAGAAATTTAAATTTTCTACAGTTTATAGATTTTCTTATAATCAAGGAGCTTCTCTAAAAGCTTTTTTTTTTTTTGCGCACACCTCATATATAACCCATCATCTAATCTTTGCTTTGGGGGTACCCAGATGGTTGTTGTAATTGTTACAACTTGTTTTTTGTTCTTCCACTGCACGGTTGTGTGTATCTTTTTCCAGGTGTTATTAATGAGCTGCCTCCATCCTATTCTGATGTTTGCAGAGGTCTACCAGAAAAACCAGGAGGTATGCATGCACCATTCCCACCCCTGCTGTTTGTGTCCTTGCTTGAGTGTGCTTTGGGCTAGTCAATCAATCATTAGCCACTTTAATTCTCCACTATTACTACCACCACCACCTTCATTATCATCACAGTAACTTTTGTTTTATCCTTAAAATAAGATGACTTTTTTTTCTTTTTAAGATTGAAATTTATTCAGATTGGTTGCTCCAATGATCTTTGTTGTACATATTTATTTTTATGAATCCAATATTTCAACCAGTAATCTTCAAGCTTTGTTATGACTTTTTGTTTTTAACAATTATTACTAACCAAAGATGAGTGGACTGATCAGAGGGAACTTTGCACTCAACTCTGATATTTGATGACAACAAAACCATTTTGTATTAACACATTATCTTATCTAATCACATCATAGCTTATGCATTCACAGGACATAAAAAAAAATTCTTTACATTAAAACCAATATCTCCCAATTCTTATGCTAGTTCCAATGGTTGCACTTATTATTGTATAGCTGTATAGGTATTGATAAGATGTTCCTGTTCTTATTTCTTTTAATGTCTATGCCATTTTAATCAGTTCTCTCTTTCATCAAAAGACATGATTAACCAATTACTCTCAGACCAGATTTTCCAATAATTAACAGTTCAGTAGTAGAGTATCAGACAAAAGAAAAGTCTGAAATTTATTCACTTGAACCTGTTGATGAATACACACTTCTATCTTTACAGCAAAAACAGTTGTGATGCTGTTAACTCTTGTGGTTACTTTTATACTTGTAAAATCTGCAATTCCTTCTTGGTATAAATATTTACAAAGAGTCAATGGAAAGGTCTAGGCCAAATCCTTTTCTCCAAAGATCTGATGGTTAGATTTTGGGAAAGGCTTCTTGGTTGGCCAGAGAATTTTTCAGCACCTCCATTGCATCTGTGGGTCCAAGCTGAAGACCACTGAGTATTTATTTTAGTGGGTGCATAAATAAACAAATGTATGCACTAAAATAATGTTTATAGTAATATATAGTGAGTGATTAATATTTCGTAGTAATGTACAAATCAGTTATAAAATATTCATAATCAAACCTCTTTCAAATTAGAAGAAAAAAGTACTTATTTGTATCTGTCAATTCCTAATCCTGTACTTGTAAAATCCATAATACCCTCATGTTTCATATAATGATGATTTTGAACTTGGCTTACAATAAAGAATATTTTAACATTTCATATAAACTTCTTTGCTAATGTTTCAACATTTTGCTGAAACCAGAAGATCTAATTATTTGGATTTTACAAGTCACCATGCTGTGACATGGGTAAAAATTATCAAATTAAAATAATAACAGGCAACTCAATGTGGGATCAACACTATTCTACCTCAAAAAAAATAAATAAATAAGCTATCTCGGCCCGAGTACATATTTTGTACTTTAGATATTTGCTGCATACAGGCAATATTTTCATAAAACACAACTGTTTTTATTGTTATTCAAGAATCCTCTACACACCAAAAGAGGCTTCATACTGTACTTGTGCATTTGGTTCATTTAACTATGCAGTTACCCTTTTAGAAAACTAGATTAAAAAGTGATTTTGTCGCAGAGCATGACTCCTCAGAGTATGTAAAAGGTAGAAGTTTTTATGAGATAAAATCAACATTCATATAAAGATTTTAATATTTTTTTTTATGTTGAAATCAATTGATGTATAAAGCAAACAGCTTTATAATGCTATACTTTTGGTTGAAAAGTTTTACTATTTGATCAGTGCTTTGCACTGATAAAAAAACTGTTTTTCTTTTAATAGCTATAATTTTTAAGTTTGCTTTTGTATGGTTTTATTTGCTGTTGTTGTTTTCTCTTATTTTGAGTTGGCCTCCCAGCTTAGTTATTTTTCTTGAACTTAAGATTGAAATCTTAAACATGATCTTTTTTTTTTTTTTTAATTTGTTTTCTTGTAAGACTTTTGCATTTCTGTGTTGTAAGTTTTTAGCTAATTTAAAACTTTAAAAAGAGAAGTCATCAATAATTAATATTTGAACTTAACGAGTGGAAAAAAAAAAAAAATTCAAGCTATAAGCCAAAGAATAAAAACTTGTCAAAGACTGATGTTTACTCATAGGCTTAAAATACCAACAACTAAGTAGTTGTAGACGTTATTAAGCACTTACATTGATGATTTTATTAGTTTGGATTTAATCTTTATTGCTTTTTATCATAATACTTTCTAGTTTTCTTTTTAATTTTTTACCTAATCTAAATTTTTAAAACACATTTCTAGAACACAGCCTGATGATTTCATTTTCCATGCTGATAAATAACATGCTTTGTGCACATCCAGTAGTGAGTCTTTATATGCCAATAACAAAATAAATCTAAAAATGTATACTATTGAATTTTTAAAACAGTAGATACAAAAAACTTTTTTTATTTTTATCATTTAAAATGCAAAATAGAAACCAGTTATAGTTATTTTTGTGCATAAACAAAAAATCTTGATATCCTCTTAGAAAGATTCAAATTTTGTTCTGAGTGCTTTATCAAAAAAAGGAAACTTGAAAAAGACCCATCAATGTCATCAAGAATATTAGACATAAAATTTAAGGTCAGGTTAAAAAAAAAAATTACCTTCATATTGAATCTTTTCTCTAATTTTTTTCTCTTCCAAAAATGATTCCTATTTCAAATGTCACATGCTAATTTTTATTCACTTCTCTTTCAGCTATGACCTTCTACAACAATCCACACAATATAACAAGGAACCCAAACTTTATTAGTTTGAGTCCAGATGGCATGCCTCGAGATACAAGTATCAGTGGCCGGGAAAGTGGCTACTCAACACCCGATTCCACCCGACCAAAAAAGGTTATTTACGAAGTCATTGTATGATGTCATTTCACCTGCATCTATCAGTGGTCAACCTACTGTACTGTACTGTACTGTACTGGCTGATGTTGTTCGTTGAATGAACTATCTGCACCCAAATGAAAACCAAAGAAAAATTTAAATCCCTACTTTCCAAAACACTTCTGACCGTTGACATGTGTTATTGTCTACTTGGTCTTCGTTGATGTTGTGCTTTTTGCATCCATCTATTTTTTTCTTCTTCACCATCTTTTCACATTTCTCAATTCAATCATGTGATACTTAAAGCAACCAATCAAAATTATATTTCTTATCAAGCTATAGTTGGGGAAGGAATTAATTTTATAGTTAAAAGTTAATTTTATTAACTCATGCTGCTGTCTTTTTTTTTTTTTTTTTCTTTTTTCATCTATTCCATAAATTACTTTTTAGATTGTTAATTAAAAACTAAACCATTTTCAGTGTTATTCCCATCACAAAAAAAGAATAACATTGCAAATAGTTTTTTTTTTTTTTATTTTTTAAAACTTTTTTGGAACCTGTTTTAATTTTTTTTTTTTTTTTAAATATATAAATTTCTTCACTCTTTTCATCACCAATTGGATGGATATATGTTGTGTGTCACACTTTATATATATTTTCTATTTTTTCTTCTATGTTGATTTTACAAAGAAATTCTTAATGGGTCAGGAAGAGAGAACACAAAATTTCCTATTTACTCTTGCCTCTTTCTTTCACATTGACATTATTTCCATTCATCTTTGCTTTTTTTCTTCTTCACCCACATGCATGATTGAATGTAATGGAATGAAATACCATAGTAACCTGTCTTGGTTCTTATTTACCACTTTGAGACTTTCTCCCTTTCCCAATGCACAAATAAAAGTGCCAGATGATGTCACAGTATTTCAATCCCAGTGCTTTGATAAGCACAAAAGGATAGGACAAAACTGCTGCACCAAAATCATTGAAAGTGAATTGTCTTCCCATTTGTTTTTCATCTTCAACCACCATATTTCTTTTGTCTTTTCCTGTCCATCATCATCATCATCCCACAACTCGATACTTCAGAAATTTTTTTAATGGCCTCCCAAACCAGTTGTAACAATGGAAATTACTTAAAGCTGCTTTATTAAAAAAAACTTAAAAAAAAAACTTGCAGTGGTGGTTACAAAGTAAAGTGATTTCACATATCAGACCAAGTACGACAACATGTATATATGCTAATGTTTGTGTGCGTGAATGAGGGGTTACAAGAGAAAAGCTAGCCGACATAACTATTGGTTGATAGTAAGCCTGTTTAATGACTAAACTTGACCATTCAGCTGAATCGAACAATATTTGGTTTCAGACAGACAATGGACACTTTCAAGAATTAAGATTCTTGGAATTGTCTCAGAAATTCTCATTAAAATAAAGACTTTTCTCTGAAAAAAAAAAATGCTGATTAATAGAAGTGTAAGAATGATTTTTGTATTAAAAAAAAAAAAAAAAAAATGATTATAATGTACCCTCCTCCCAAACTTTTTTTTTTTTTTTTTTTCAGCTTGTAAAAAGTTTTCTGGATTTCTTTAAAAAGAAAACAACTTTCCTTTTTGTCCTCAAAATTTTCAGAAATAAAAACAAATAAAATTTACAAAAGCAAAATTAAATTGAAAAAGAAAAATTAACTTACAAACAAGGGAAGTAGCTTTTTCTTTTTTTCACTCTCTCCCCCCTCACTTTCTCAGTATAGTTTTTGAGTTGGCTTATTTTTGTCAATATAACACTCTCCCCTCCCTCCAAAACAAACTGGCCTCCTGTGATCACACTTGAGGAAGAGAGCTTGTGCAATACTTTCCTTCACATAAACAAAAGCTGAACCTGTTCAGTTAAAGCAGAACCTGTTCTCCCTTATTGCACTTTCAGCCTTATTTGCTAACAGTGAATTTCTCGAGCCACAGGGATGTGTATAAAGTTTTTTTTTTTTTTGTACATTTGTGAATATTTAAGAAATACAAAATTGGTGCTTTTTGTCTATCATTTATTGTTAGGCTTCATAATTAAAATTGGCAGTAGTAATATTCAAAACAATGTTTTTATTAATTTTGTGTGCGTGATTGAAAGTTAACGCTAAAAATCAAAAAGAATAAAATGTGAAGTTTACATTATTTATCTTTTTTTTATTATTTTTTCTAATTTTAGTCACTTTTCATTGAAATTATTCAGTCATTCTGCAGACATTGGTAAATGCCATAGATCAGAAATCAATAAGATCCTTTATTTCTGATCCACACACTAATGGCTTCAGAATGACAGTTATGATTAGTTGCAAAGAAAAGTACCTGAAATTAGGAAAGAAGTACTAATTAAAACAAAAAAAAAATCTAATGGTTGACACTACTTCAGATAAATTTTCTTGAGTTTGAAATTATCTCCAGTAAATATTTGAAAAATAGCAAGAACACAAGATACTGCAAATCAGTATTAGTAAAATCTGTTAGCATTTGAACTCTACAATTACTTTATAAATTTTTTGATTTAGCTATGAGACCAAATTATCAGATGTTTTAAGAACTACATTCCTCTTAAAACTAATGATATTGTCACCATTTCAGTTCACCTTAATTACTTGAGGGACTGAATAGATTAGTAGATACTAGGTAAACAAAGAATTATATGCCATTCACTTTGAATATTCAACCTTCTTGGAATCTTCAATAAAACTAAAAAGAATTCTGTAAAAGAAAATTTTATTTTCTGTAAAATAGAATGTTATATTGAGAAACCAGAAATTGAACAAGTGTATTTGGTAACTTTTTTTCATTACTTTAGAATGAAAAAAAAATCCCCAAAACTAATTGCTGTTTCTGAATATATTAAGAAATAAATATCAATGCAGAAATGAAGCTCATTTGATAAGCAGAGCAATTAAATTAAAAGAATTGCTATTATTGGTATTCTCTTTCAGTTCAGCCAGTGAATGATTTTGTTTGAAGTTTTAGCAATAACTAGTTTCTGTTAAGAGAAAAATGATGCACAATTAATTCTTGCCTTGTCCCAGGCTTTTATGCTGTTCATATTCAGGTAAAGTATGGACACTTTGATATGATGTAATGGTTAACAAGCTTGCCTTGCTAGATCAGTTATGACTGAATAATGAGTTTGATCCTTTCAGCTTTGTATCACATCTAAGCTATGCTTAGAAAAATTTCCATATTCAGGTACTTTATTATTATTTCGCAGATGAAAATGTAGGAGGAGGCTTGGATCTAATGTTCAACACTAAGATCATTCTCCATTACCTCTGTGGTCAATGAAACCTCTTCCAATAACTGACCTGCATTTTTCGGATATTCTGATTACTATATGAATGAAAAGAGGTGTGTAAATTTCTCTCTCTTCATAACATGTATAATTTACCTCTTAGGAAAAAGGTGAATCATTTCAAGGAAGAAAACAAAAGTTGCTATTTTTCCATCTCTTTTCCCATAGTCTTTTTTAGGGGTACTTTTCAAACCGGTTTCATAAGAATTTCGTCTTATGCACTTTTTCCTATTTATTTATTTTTTTAATAGTTTTTAGTAGGTTATTTTTTTAAAATGTCATTTTGAGCTGGGAATGTTGAAAGATCAAGCTCAAAGTAGTGGTGATAAAAATTAGAATAACCATAGAGGGATAAATAAACAAGGGAAAAGAAAATAAACTATTTTTTTTTTTATAAAAGACAAGATTGTGACTTTAGTTATTTAATATCCTATTTTATTCTCATTTTTGCTAATTAAAAAATATTAATATTGTATCTAAATAAAATATAAACTAATTCAGTGAAAAAAAAAAAATTTGCATAGTTGTCTCATTTTGACTGTGTTCAAAAATCAAAATTAAACAACTATCCTTTTGCAGTCTAAAATTAAAGTTGTTTTTTCCTTTACCATAGGCATGTCACATGATGAGGTTTTCTTCTCTATAATGTCTTAAAAAAAGTCCTCTCCTATAACTTAATGAGATGAATTTAGATCATTTAAATAACTTGGTTCACCTCTTGTTGCAATTAACTCTTTAGTACAATTACAACTGGAATTGTGTGTTTTTTTTTTGTCTTAAGAGAGAAACTTCAAATGTATACAAATAGTAAAGATATGATTTCTGTAGTCATGTTAGTAAAATTAGATTAAGTCTGACCAGATATGGTCTTTGAACATTTTACATTTCATTATTTATTGCAGCCTGTCTATATTCCTGTAAAAATCACAACTTTAGCTGTCAGTAAAAATAGGCTTTTAATTAAGAATGGATAAATTTCCAATGTAATTTAAATAGGATTAGTGATTGAGTATTGTATAAGAACTGTTCAAACCTGCATTGGGCTTAGTAATTCAGTTAGTATCAACTAGTGTAATTGTATGATGACAGAGTAAAAGATATTGAATGATATTATCACAAATAGTTTCTTAATTGCAAGACAAGATATTTAATAGAAACATTAGATATCTTGGTCTTTGCTTTAAGTTTATAAATTATTTATTGTGGAACGTTAAATGAATAATTTTGGTCAAAGTTATTATTTATAAAACAATTCTTAAAATTACTAAGATTTTTTAAATTATTATTAAAATGGTTGCTGTTATTTTTGGAAGGGACTAGATTTGCTTTATTATAAGATATTTTAATTGCTTTATATTTAAAAATAAATTACTGCAAAAAGAATATATTAACAATGTCACTGTTACAATCTCCGAGTTGATGAGCTGTTTATTTTTAACTAATTTATTTGAAATGGATACTATAAGTATCAGAATAAGCAAGGATTTTTATCAGTTCGATTTTAAATAGAATCTGGCACAGTAAACTTTGTTAATTTTTTTTTTTTTTTTTAGCGCTCCTTCCTAAAAACACAAGCACTATTTCTTGAATTAGAAGTTGACTAGTGTCAGTTTTTAGGATTATAGTTTTGCATCTTTACTATAATTTAAAAAAATCTTGCAACACTTTTGCTGATTCATGTTGGTAAAGCAATAAGTTGAATTTTGTTGTTAGTACTT